TAGAATCACCTTACAAGATTGAAACTTTGGCATTTTGATTGGGATTGTGTTGACTCTGTAGCCCAAATTGGGGATGTCTGACACCTTAACAATATTGAAGTTTCTGATTTGTGAACACTATATATCTCTTCATTTATTTAGGACTTCTTTAATTTCTCTCAGCATTGTTTTGTAGTTTTTCGGTGCACAGGTTCTGCACAGTTCTGTCAGATTTACCTCTGAGTATTTCACCATTTTGATGCTGTTTTAAATGGTATTTCCAACTTTTCAATTTCTGATTGTTCATTGTTAGTATGAAGAAATACAATACAAATTTTTTGATCTTGTATCCTATGACCTTGCTAAATTCACTTACTACTAGTGGCATTTTCGTAGATACCACAGGATATTTACGTAGATGATTTTGCTGTTTTCAAATACAGAGAGGTTTACTTCTGCCTGCCAAGTCTTACTTTTCTTGCTTATTGTACTGGCTAGGACCTCCAATATAATGTTGAATGGGAGTGGCGCGTGTGGATATTCTTGCTTGTTTCTGATCTTCGGAGGATACCACTCACTCCTTTACCACTAAGCTTTTTGTAGATGCCCTTTATCAAGGTTAAGAAGTTCCATTGCCAAGCGTAGTAGCATGCCTGTAGTCCCAGCTACTACTTCTGGTAAGGTGGGAGGGTTGCTTGAGCCCCGGAGTTCTGGGCTGTAGTGTGCTGTGCCTGTTGGGTGTCCGCACTAAGTTCAGCATCAATATGGTGACCTCCCAGGAGTGGGGCACCACCAGGTTGCCTGTGGGGGTGAACTGACCCAGATCAGAAATGGAGCAGACCAAAACTTCCATGCTGATCATGCTAAGTTTTTTCTATTTTAAAATGAGAAGTAGATATCGTATTTTGTCAAATGCTTTTTAAAGTGCATCTGTTTAGATGATTATAAGATTTTTCTTCTTTAGTCCAAGATGAATTTATGTTGATTTAATGTTCAACCTTGAATTTCTGTCTGCACCGTGTATTGGTCCATTTCCTAGTTGAACATTTGAGTTGTTTCCTGTTTCTGAAAATTGTGAATAAAGCCACTGTAAGCATGTGAACAGATTTTTCTGACCCCATCTTTTTAATGTTTGTATTAATAGAATACATAGTGATTTTTACCTTTCATTTCAGATTTGTGTCTTTTCTTTTTCTCCTGATTAGTCTGGCTAGTGGTTTATCCATTTTATTCTGCTTCTGAAAGAACTGGGTTTGGTTCATTGGATTGTCTGTTTTTCCTTGTTATATTGTTAATATTTTGTTGACCTCTGCTCTTAGGCTTATCTCCTTTCTTCTGCTTACATTATGTTTAAATTTTTACTTCTCTAGTTTGTTAAGGTGAAGCCACAGTCATTGATTTGAAACTTTACTTTTTTTCTAGTATGCATTTATAGTATTATAAATTTCCTTCTAAGTTTTGCCTTAGCTGCATCCTACAAAGTTAGATATGCTATATTTTCATTTCCATTCATTTCAAGAAACTTTCTAATTACCCTTTTGAATGCTTCTGACCAGTGAGTTAATTTCTGTGATTTGGGAATTTTCCAGATACCTTTATGGATTTCTAATTTAATTGCAACATACTTTTGTTAGAAAACATACTTTTTATTATTTTAGTCCCTTTGAATCTTTTGAGGCTTGTTTTGAGGCTATGTTTTATCAGCATGTGATTCGTCTTGGTAAATATTCTTTGTGCCCTTGAAAAGAATGTATGTTTTGCTATTATTGGGTAGAGTATTCTAATAAAAATTAGGTCTGGTTTATTGGTAGTGGTGTTCAAGTCATCTGTATCCTTTCTGATTTTCTTTCTTATTGTTAATTGAGGGAAATCTCTAGACTATATGGATTTGTCTATTTTTCCTGTTAGATTTTGCTCAAGTAGTTTGATGCTTTATTATTATTATTAATTGCTGCATAAACGTTTAGGATTTAGGATTATATGTCCTCTTAATGAGTTGACTCCTTTATCAGTATGAAATTACTTTCTTTATTCTTTGCTCTGGAATCTACTTTGTCAGACATTAATGAAGCTATTTCTGTCTTTTGATTAGTATTGGCATAATTTATCTTTTTTCATACTGTTATTCTACTTGTCTTTATATTTGAAGTACGTTTTCTGTAGGCAGTGTATAACTGGGTTTTGTTCCTTTTTAAATGCAAATTGACAGTCTATTCATTTTAGTTGGATTGTTTAGACCATTTAATTTTAATGTAATTATTCTTATGGTTGGATTTTAAATCTACCATCTTGCTATTTGGGTTTTTGTCTGTTTGTTTTACTGGAAATCCCTTTATCTTCTAATATTTGGTTTTTTTTCATACCATTTATTCTTCTGTTTTTTCCCTGCCTTGTTTCAAAATAATTGAGTGCTGTTTGTTTTCATCATTCCATTTTACCTCCTTTGTTGGCTTTTTTTGCTATAATTCTTTGTTTCGTTAGTTGATTCAGTGTACTTTCAAGTAATATTACTTCAAGAAAACGCCTTTGTTTTCTCCTCCCATCCTTTATTCTTTTGTTGTGTCACTTCTGCGTGTTATAAACTCGACAGTATTTTGTTGCTAATTTTTTAAAATAGTGAATTATCTTTTAAAGAGATTTAAAATATGTAAGAAAAGTATCTCTTATATTTACCCACATAATTTACTATTTCTGGTGCTTTTCATTCCTTTCTGTTAATGCAGATTTTCCATCTGGTATTCTGTTTCTTCTGCCTAAAGAATTTTCTTTAATTTCCTATCATGTAGGTCTGCTTGCTACAAAATCTTTAAGCTTTCCTATATAGGTTGAGTATCCCTTATCTGAAATGCTTGGGACCAGAGTGTTTCAAATTTTGGAATTGTTTAATTTTGAAATATTTTCATATACATAATGAGATATCTTGGGGAGGGGACCTAAGTCTAAACATGAAATTCATTTATGTTTCATGTACACCTTATACACATAACCTGAAGGTAATTTTATACAGTATTATTAATAATTTTTTGCATGAAACAGAGTTTGTGTACATTGAACCATCAGAAAGCAAAGGTGTCACCATCTCATGTCAGCACTTAAAGTTTCAGATTTTAGAGATATTGGATTTTGGATTAGGGATGCTCAACTGTATCAGAAAAAGCATTTAACTTGCCTTCATTATTGAAAAATATTTTTGTTCAGTTGCTAGGTTAGCGGGATTTTTTCCCCTTTGAGCACATTAAAGATTTTGCTCCACTGCCGTCTCTCTTGTGTTGTTCACAACGAGAAGTCTGCTGGAATCTTAACTTGACTCCTCTGCATAAAATGCAGTTTTTTCCCCCCTCTGGCTGCTTTTTAGATTTTCTCTTTTTTATTTGTTTTAAGCCATTTAATTAAGATGTGCCTTTGTGTAATTTTCTTTTTGGCTTTTTATGGAATTTTCAAATGCTTGATGGATTCATTGAGCTTTTTGTACCTGTGGATTTATAGTTTTCATTACATAAGGAAACTTTTCTGGCTTTCCCTCTTTTTTGTAATAGCTTGAGACAGAATTCACCGATTTTTAAGGTGCACATTTAGTGTTTCCTGTATATTCACAGAGTTGTGCAACATTTACCACAATCAGTTTGAGAACATTTTCATCATCCCAAGAAGGAGCCATTAGCAGTCCTCCCTCTGGTGGATGGGAATACCTCTAGCCTTGGCTCTTTGTGAACCTGGGGATTGTTTGTTGCCCAGCAGTCCTTTTGGGTGTTTCTTCCTCTGTCTCAGGCAGTTTCTCACATGTATGTGCTGATCATTACTCAGTTGAAAACTTGAGGACCGGCTTCAGATATCTCTGTCTGTCCATTTCTCTCTGCTACTCTGCCTCTTGAATTCCAGTCACCTTGATTTCCCTGGACTTTCTCTGTCTCACATCTCAGGGGGAGATCATGTGCTCAACCTGGGCTGCCTCCTGCAAATGCTGTCCAGGAAGTAAGCTGAGGCAAATGTAGGGCCCACCTTGTTTGTTTCCCACCCTTTAGGGATCACTCTGCTGCACTGGTTGGTGTCTGATCTCTGAAATTTGATGATTCGTTTATATTGTCTAGTATTGTAGTTGTTGCAGGTGGGATAGTAGATTTTGTTCCTGTTACTCCATCTTGATTAGAAGTAAAAGTCTCCAAGGGGTGCTTTTTTCAGCCAATAGAAAATCAGTTTTCAAAGACTGGTATATTTTTATTTCATCTGTTTATTTCATTCTGTTCCAGATTAGTTGCTGAACTATTAGGGGACTATGGGGAAAGTTCTTAAATGGATTGTAGAAACATTGGTGTCTTATCAAAAAGTGCCAAAGTACAGATTGAATATTGCATTGCAAGTTATTACCATGCTATTCTTAGTCACTGAATCCTATGCCTACTGCTGTTTGATTATAAAGTTATGACAATATCTGAAATATTTCTGAGCAAGTATTTTTACTTGTATAATGCATATACAGTACAAATTTTATTTAGTTACATGGTTCTTGGTGCAGTTATCCCTTGGGTACTCTGGTCCTGAAATGCAACTAAACAGAATATCTTGTTTTCCTTTTTGCTTTAAGGCAAAATTCTTATTTTCTGGGGTACAGGTATGAGCAGCCTCTGAGATACTAGAATTTGTTTTTGTTTTGCATAAATCCAAATGAATCATAATGTTCAAATATTGGATTTATCATTATTATAAATTATTCTTAACTTTTCTCTCACATTTGAGGTCCTTTAATGGGTAAATTCTTTCCCATTGTGCTCTTAAGAATAAAAATGCAATCTAAATATTGATATATTAACTTAAATTTTTGGTTTAATCTGCTAAGTAGAGAGTTTATAATTGTAGCAGTGAATTGTTTGAGAATAGGTAAGATGTGCCCTTTTTACCCCTTCCCACAAATTTTTGGATAATAATTTAAGTTACTCATAAAAACATCTAAGTCTTATTTAGTCCACAAAACAAATTGTATAGAACACTATATAATCCTTCCCCATTTTTATCTTCTTTTACAGGAAAAGTAAGAAGCTTAAGCTCATCTTTATGGTCACTAACTCACTTGACAGCTTTGCATTTGAGTGACAATTCCCTGTCCCGTATTCCTTCGGACATTGCCAAGCTTCACAATCTGGTGTATCTGGACCTGTCATCTAATAAAATCCGTAGTTTACCGGCAGAACTCGGAAACATGGTATCACTCAGGTATGCAGATTCAGCTTAGTCCATAGTATCTATATGCCTCCTAAAACAAAATTATAGCCTTCGTTTTGTTAGAGAACAGCACTGTTCATTTAATAGCATTTAATAAAAATACACATAACTATATACTTTATGAAAAGGTTTTTGGGAAAATCGAATGTCAACTAATAAATAGTAAATTAAGTAGATCCACTGCCTGAGATTTTTATTGCGATGTTTTGTGTAATGTACTTATTCTCGAACCAAAATTTTTGGACAAAGTAGGGGTAAACGACTATAAAGCACTGTGTTGTCCCGCACACTGGCCTGTGACAGACAGTTGGGGCACCATGCCATCCTTCACAGCACTGTGTGGTCCAGGAAGCCACTGCCAATTGGTGACACCTTTTTTGCCATCCCAGGGCTTATATGTATGATAGTAAAGCTTGGACCTGAAAGAAGCCCAGATAGTAATTAAATTTGGAGGATTACAGTGTGATGTGTAGGATTTAGAGTCACATGGAATTCAGGTTGGAATCTTGACTTTGCCGTTTACAAGTTGTGTGATCTCAGGCAAGCTTCTTAACCCAGGATTAGGGATATTTGAGATAATGAGTAAAAAGCCACTGGCACCCTGTCTGGCACATACTGTATTTTAATAAATGGTAATTACTATTTTTTTATTACCTCTGTTTTATAAGGTGAATAGTATCTATTCAAGTTAAATACAAATCCAAATTCCAGCTCTTACGTTAATCCCAATGGAATGAATATCTTATCCATTTCATAGTACCTGCCTTTTCTCCATGGTTCCACTGGGTCTTCTCCTGCCTTCTGCCATTAGCTATGTAGTAAAAATGAATAAGGACTTCGTGAAAATTCCTTTGCCTTTATTGCTCCCAGTCCAGCCTTTTGACATTTTTCTAGGATTAACTATTGAGTATGTAATATAATCACTTTTAGTCCTTTGAAACAAATTTACTTGAAGAACTTTCTTTTCCATGTATATATTTGGAGATTAAACAGGAACCCCAGTTATTCAGAACTAGTTTTTCTTGTTCATTTTATGGCCTTACAGACTTTTGGTTTTCTCACTAGTGACCAAGATTGACTTAAATTTCAAGAACCAAAGATTATAGAAATAGTTTTCCTTCATACTTAAACATTGGTAAATAAAACTTAATTTAGGAAATTGCCAGTATCTCGTTGTTGGGTCTCTGGGGTTTTTTCCCCCCTCTCTATTGAAGATTTCTTTGTTATTTATATTATGGTTATCTATATAAAACAAATTACTGAAATGATCATACAGCTGCTGTTATTTCTAAAGTGAAACTTTAGAAAATATAGTACTAATTGTAAAGTTAATTGTGCAGCTATCATAAGCTGTTTTGAGTTGTTACTACATGATCGTTTTATCATTTTAGTTCCTTTTTTTTTTTTTTTTTTTTGAGATGGAGTCTCATTCTGTGGCCCTGGCTAGAGTGCAG